CTCTTACAAATGTGACATTAAGGGTAGTTTGGACATTTGACAACAAAAAAGTGACATTTTTGAACAAATTTAGTGCACATGAAATTTTTTTGTGAATTTTCAAATTTAGTGATATTTATGAAAATCTCCCTTTCAAAAATCAATCAAAAATTGTCAAAGCGTTCTTTTGTGAAAATTCGAAGGGGACTTTATTTTTATAGGAAAATGATTGAATTTCAAAGAAATGCAATGGTAAGGCAATCATATTTTTATTAATCTTGTTGTTAAAACAGAAGGTAGTTAATTCCTATATACATTTGATCGCATAAACAATGTGATTCATTCATTCATTCGGGAGTAATTTATTTGATAGAACATATAGATTTTCATTATGTGTATCATGTATACGAATCAAGAAATACTTTATGCTTCTGACCAATCACCAGATTATTTACATTGCAGGATGAACGCGTTAATATCTCATGCTGAATGATTAGATTAACTTTAAACATTATACTCGTTTTATATATGAATAATGATTAATCAAAGTTTTGATATAGAGAAGTAGAAGAAAGAGGTACAATGTTAATTCAAATTTTTCTTTAAAATATATCTCTTTTATGAATGATAAAAATAAATTAAGTATAAAAAGAGATGAAAATTTTTGATGAAAATTATGAAAAGAGTTTAAATCAATGAAAGTTTTTTATATAAAGAAATAAATGAAATGGGTGCGATGTAGCATTGAAGAATTCTCTAAAAATATATCTCACTTAATGCTCTTAAAACTCTTATTAAAGAATGGAAAGAGTGATGATGCTTAAAGAAATCAAAAGCAAAATATTATGTCGAACTCGATAACCTATCATACATCCGCCTTTGGATCTGAACGACAAAAATAGTTGTTAAACATATGAAATTTGACGGTTAAAAATCCGACCATTGCATCAACCGGACGCCCGCCTTTTATGAATTTATAGAGAAAGATTTTGCAAAACTTTCTTGGAATCCGGACGATTAACTAGACGAGTATCGGATGCATGATCAGACTTGACGTCCAACCATTTTGGCCGATTTTCTCGTTTTTGACCCCATTTAATCGAATTTGAATATTTTGACAAATGTAGACTTTTGGAAGATAATATGATCTAAGTTCAAACATCATTTTGAAAATCAATATTACTTTTGATGAAAACATTTTATGCGAGTGATAATCAAAATAACTTTTAGTGATTTTTGAGTTTTTATTGTTCATTGTTAAATATTAAAATATTATTACATGTATATTTGAATTAAGAAATCTACTCTTTAATCTTATTTCGTAGTTTTGGTCTTAGGCGATCTTAATCCTTCATTGACGTTTGACTTTTAAATTCTTGATCTTGATTTTTCTTGGACATTTCTCTTTTAAGATCTTTTGACGACGATCAATCAATTTATCATTGAATACTTTGAAAACTATAATTACTTTAAATTCGATTGTTGGTAAATAATATTAACTTGTTTGTTATAATCAAAACAAATTTTCCCTTTTTATTATGACAAACAAGATGATTTGTAAAGTAATATCAATAGGGAATAAAGTTATCACATTTAAAATATATTTCCCCTATCTTTTACAAACCAGTTACCATCCATTTAAAACATATCAAATAGTAGATAATTCAAAATATATCATTTAATTATTCAAAACATATCATCTCACTCATCTTCCCCTTTTCAATGCATTTCAAATTCATCTTACTCAATTTTTCATATTGGCAAAAACAAAAAAGGTAGCACATATAAAAGCAAAAGTATTGTATATAAGATCAAAATTTTAAATCAATAATATGAAATAATAATATTCCCCCTCAATTAAACATAATATGTCAACTATATGCAAGGTTAAATAAGAGGATAATAATCACATTTATAGTAAAATACTGATCAAAGTATGTGTTCACGAGAAAATGTTTCGGATTTAAATCACCG